AAAAGAAAAATCCTATACAAAACAAAAGAGCATAAAGGTAAAAGGGATGCAAGCAAATAAATCCAAATCGTCAAACAAAGATCGTTCGGCATCAATACCAACGATCACCAGATTCCGAAGAATCAAGAGCATACAACCTCGAACCATTCAACTCCAATCTAAACTAAAGCTATCCTAAAGCACACCAAAGAAAAATAAAATGAAAGAAAAGAACGAAAAGTTAGAAAGATCTCACCAAAATAACGCCCAAGTGAGCATATCCAAAGGGAAAGCATGCGCCCTAAAAGTGGTGAGAATCCAAATAGAAGGAAAACAAACTATATACACAAAAGGGTTAGTCCGGATGGACGAGAAAGAAATAAAATGCAACTCCCATTCGGCTTTTTTTTTTTTTTTTTTTTTTGGGTAGAATATAGTTTTATTTTTGCTTCACTACTCCCAGTTCAACATTACCTTATCAATCATCGAACCATATATACACACACCGGTCAATCGCCATGTCGGCGAATATCAGTAATCATCGTCATCATCATAGACACATCAAAAACTCAACAACCATAGCAGTGAACAAGGGCAAAAACAACCAAACAAACAGTCATGCAATCCAGCAGAATCAGCAGCATCAAGGTACGAGTAAAACAATGAAAGACCGACAGGCACGCAGGTAAGAATCTCAGCCAAGTCACTCCCTACCAAGAGTATATCTCCTTCTCATCAAAATAAACATGCAAAACAGGGGAGAGATATACTCTAGGGACGTAGCCTACTGGCCACTAGAGCTAGGCTCACTAGGTGAGTCATGCTGAGGTGGCGGCTCGTCATAGCTGAAGCCACTAGGTGGGCCGAAAAGGCCCCAGCCACCGTCAAAGCCCGGTGGCCAACCGTAGTGACCCTTGAAAAGATCCTCTTGCCAGCTGGGCAAAGGATCGGAGGGAGTGTCCTCAGACTGGGAATACAGAGGGGCGGGGTGATCAGGATGCACATAGGGGTAAGAAGGGTCCCCTCTAAAGTCACACCCGCCGGGCACACGATAATCGTACTGCCCGTCCTCTGGGAAGCTGCGGAGCTCCCTACTAGGCTCGGAAGGACCTTGCCAGTAGGGGTAAGTGAGGAGATTGTTCCCCCCCCCCAAGAAGGAACAGGGCCGTGCTGAGGCGGCCAATTAGGGTAGTTCACGGGGAGAGCAATCTCTCCTCTTTCCACAGCTGAGTCATAGAGGCCCTGCTGTTGCAGATGGTGGCCCTGTTGTGACTCATAGATTGCCTGCAATTGCCTAGCTATGTCAGATAGCTAGATTGTACTTGTGGGCTGCTGTGCGCCCGCCTGCTGCTGCTGCTGCTGAACCTCCTCCTCTACCTCCTCCTCATCACCTACCCCTCCCTCATCATCCCCATCAAGCTCGAGCACTTGCCTGTTATCTCTCAAAACTCTCCATACATAATCGGTGGCACGGGTGATGGAGGTAAGGTGGGGTTTGGGAAGAAAGCAATGGTGTCTCCCTCTCACAAGCCAGCTGTAGTAGGCAGGGTTAGCGGTCGGCAAGGTAAAGTCAGACCTACGAAGCTGTTCTAGGTCAAGGTAAATGTCACCTTTACTCCCCACGGGTGTGCAGAGAGGTAACATATCAGTGTGCCCCAACTTAATGGCCAACCTAGTGACCATTGCCTCGCAGTGTATGTCTCCAGACCTCTTACCCTTTGCGATAGCTACACAGGTGGTCATGAAGAGAAAACCTAAGTTAAGCTTACGAGGCTGCTCTCTCCTAGAAGCGATCCACAGAATACACACTTCCTCTTTAGTCAACTTCCCTAGGTCTTGCTTGCTAATAACAGAATATCCTAACAAACGGTGCAGGACCCTAAGGGCTGGGTGGAACATCTCACTAGCTATAGATTTCCTTGTGGTGAATTCATCTCTGCCAGAAATGTGACGCCACCAACTAGTCTCGTTGTATTCTCTAAAGTTTTCGTAAAGAGGGCGGTAGATATCTGCTTCTAGGAGGAAGTCTAAGGCTTGGTTGAATTGCCCTAAGGTTAGCTCATGCTGGGTGTTAAAGAGTTGGAATTTGATCTTATATACATCATTATCAAGATCCAAGGTGTCCACAGAGAAGGAGGAGAAGAATTCCAAGCAGGGTTCTAGGTAAGTCGTGAATGAGGAGTTAACAAAAGATCCCATCCTCAAATTCTCAAACAGAAACCATAAGTTGTCATTTATTCCCAATTTCTCCATGTCCTCTCTATGGTAATGCCTTGAGGGTCTGAATTTTCTTTTTTCATATCATTATAGACGGAGGCATGGTTTTTGTTAATGAATTTCAAAGTAGGAAGAGTGTTTGTTGTATTGGGGTTAGGGTTTTGGGACGATTGTCCCGAGTTAGCAGTTTTCCTCTTTTTCCCAATCCTTAACGAACTCATGACTACTCTTTTTTTTTTTCAAACACAAGCCAACTCCGGCTAATTCCAACCACACCCCCACAAACTACAATGTACCTGTTCTATAACAATAGTAATTCAACAACAACCAAGTATGTCCACAATTTTGACACCAATTTTCACTGAATCAACAAGAATATCCAGCAATAATTTCAACAATAATCAATTGAATCTCAAAATTAATCTAAGATAATCAAATTTCTTGCTTAAAAATCAATCAAAGGAGAATAATTAACAAAGGAAATTGAATACCTTTACACTTATGCGAGTGAATTGTTGTTTGGTGTCGAATTGTTGAAGGGAAGAAGATGAACTTGAGTGTGATGGTGAGAAGCGCCGCGGTGGTGATGATGGAGGAAAATGACCTTGAAGCTTGCGTGAAGATGGAGTAAGTGGATTTGAAGGATGGGAAAGTTAGGGTTTGTGAGTTTTAGAGAGAGAGAGTGAGTGAGAAGAGTGTTTTCTGTTTTGAGAGTGAATGGAGAAGTAAGGGGGTTTCGGTGTTGAGGAGTCCTTCACTCGTTTTTTTTTTTTTTTCTGAAATCGCAACATGGGCGCCCGCTCCCGATAGAGACGCGCCCGCTCCTGAACAACACGCGCCCGCGCCTAAGCTGAGGGATTTTTGAATAACTTTTTCAGATCGGACGGCGCGCCTGCTCCTCTTCCGCGCTCGAATCGCGCCCCCTTACTAGCTTTTCTAAAGATTTAGGCATCAGATATGGCGCGCCCACTACGTAATCAGCACGCCCGCGCCACCTTCAGATGCGCGATCTCTCCTCATTCGCACACAAACCGCGCACCTTACTGACTTTTTCCTCCAATTTCAGCCCCTAGATGATGCGCGCCCGCTCTTGATTTGGCGCGCCCGCTTCGAAACTGAGGCGCGGCCTTTCCTCTTCCGCGCTCAAACCGCGGACCCTTCTGTTTTTTCTCATTCAATTTGAGCCCCTAGATGAGGCGCGCCCGCTCCTGGTTAGGCGCGCCCGCGCCACCTTGCAGCGCGACCTCTCCTCTCAATATATCGCTTTTGCTTCAAATATTCTCTTTTCTCTAAAACACTTCCCATAACACCTACATCACATTATACAAGAAAAGAGTTAGAGAGATTATACTAAGCGGTTTAAAAGAAAATAGAATCAAAAAGGTTAGAAACCGGGTTGCCTCCTGTAAGCGCTTCTTTAACGTCACTAGCTTGACGTACTTCACACCAAATCACGGCGACTTAAAATCATCAATGAGAGATAAATGCTCTGGCTTCTCAATTAGTTGACCCTCATAGTATGGCTTGAGACGGTGCCCATTCACTTTGAACGGAGGGTACTTGTCATTGAATATCTCAACCGAGCCATAAGGAAAGGCTTTGGAAACTTGAAATGGCCCACTCCATCTAGACCTCAATTTCCCGGGGAAGAGCTTGACTCTTGAATTGTAGAGTAGGACCTTTTGTCCTTCCACAAATTCCTTCTTGGAAATTTGAGCGTCGTGCCACGCCTTGGTTCTTGCTTTGTAGAGGCTTGCGCTATCATATGCGTTCATTCTCAACTCTTCCAACTCATGAAGCTCTAGAAGCCTTTGTTCACCCGCACTATGGAGATCAAAGTTGTTTCGCTTGATTGCCCAATGCGTTCGGTGTTCCATTTCTACGGGTAAATGGCAATTCTTCCCATAAACAAGTTTATAGGGAGTGGTCCCTATAGGAGTCTTGAAGGAGGTCCTATAAGCCCAAAAAGAGTCAATGAGTTTGGAGGACCAATCCTTTCTCGTTCTTGCCACCGTCTTTTCCAAAATGATCTTAAGCTCCCTATTAGTTACCTCCGCTTGACCACTCGTTTGAGGGTGGTAGGAGAGCCCTCGCTTATGGGATACACCATACTTATCAAGAAGTCTAGCAAAAGTGTGATGCTTGAAATGTGACCCTCCATCACTAATGATAGCCCTAGGGACACCAAACCTCAGAAAGATCACCCTTTTGAATAAGTTCACAACCACCTTGGAATCATTTGTAGGAGAAGCCACGGCTTCTGCCCATTTGGAGACGTAATCTACGGCTACCAAGATGTATTTGTTCCCATTAGAAGAAATGAAGGGCCCCATGAAGTCTACTGCCCATACATCAAAAACTTCAAGCTCAAGGATGGGGTTTTGAGGCATTTCATCCCTCCTAGAGATGTTCCCCACTCTTTTACACCTATCACAAGTTTTAACAATTTGCCAAGCATCTTTGAATAGAGAGGGCCAAAAGAGCATACATTGCAAGACCTTGGAAGCGGTCTTTTGGGCACTCATGTGACCACCACAAGGGGATGAGTGGCACATTGAGAGCACATCTTGGAACTCTTCATTAGGAACACATCTTCTCAAAAGTCCATCTACCCCTCTCTTCAACAACATAGGGTCATCCCATATATACTTCTTTGCTTCATGCTTGAGCCTTCGATGTTGTTGAGGAGTGAAATCCGGGAGTACGGTACTACAAGCCAAGTAGTTCACAATATCCGCATACCAAGGCTCCGATTTTGCCTCAAGAGCATATAAGACATCATCCATTAGGGCATCTTCAATTGGCTAACCATCCTCATGTATTCTTGCACCTCCCAACCTAGAAAGGTGGTCCGCCACCACGTTCTCGGCCCCCTTCTTATCTCTCATTTCGTAATCAAAGTCTTGAAGGACCAAGACCCATCTCAACAACCTCGGTTTGGCCTCCTTCTTGCTTATCAAATATTTGAGAGCCGAGTGATCGGTATACACTATTGTCCTAGAAGCAATGAGGTAGGTTCTAAACTTCTCAAATGAATGAATAACCGCCAAGAACTCTTTCTCGGTAGTTGTATAATTCCGTTGAGCATCGTTGAGAGTCTTGGACAAATAGTATATAACATGAAGTTTCCCATCCTTTCTTTGTCCTAGAACCGATCCAATGGCCTCGTCGCTTGCATCACAAATTAGCTCGAATGGTAAAGACCAATCCGGTCCTTGGACTATGGGGGCGGTGCAAAGAGCCTTTTTCAACCTACAAAATGACTCATGGCAAGCTTCATCAAATACAAAATCTTTATCTTGCTGCAAGAGAGATGTGAGTGGCTTAGAAATTAAAGAAAAATATTTTATAAAACGACGATGAAACCCGGCGTGGCAAAGAAATGACCTCACTTCCCTTACATTGGTAGGGGGTGGGAGTTTCTCTATGACCTCCACCTTGGCTCTATCCACCTCGATGTCGGCATGGGAAATTTTGTGCCCAAGAACAATCCCATTCTCTACCATGAAATGGCATTTTTCCCAATTCAACACGAGATTAGCCATCTCACATCTTTCCAAACAACGAGATAAGTTAGATAGACAATTTTCATAGGTGGTCCCTCCAACGGAGAAATCATTCATGAAGACCTCTATCTCATCCTCAATCATATCACTAAAGATTGACATCATACATCTTTGAAATGTAGCGGGAGCGTTACAAAGCCCAAAAGGCATCCCACGGTACGCAAAGGTACCATAGGGACAAGTAAATGTTGTCTTCTCTAGATCCTTGGGATCAATCGGAATTTGGAAAAATCCCGAATATCCATCAAGAAAGCAATAGAAGGCATGCTTTGTAAGCCTCTCAAGCATTTGATCAATAAACGGTAATGGAAAATGGTCTTTAGAAGTGTTGGCATTCAATTGGCGGTAATCAATACACATACGCCAACCCGTAACAAGCCGGGTTGGGACTAATTGTTGCTTATCATTAACCATTACCGTCATACCTCCTTTTTTCGGCACTACTTGAACCGGGGATACCCAATCACTATGAGCAATTGGATAGATGATCCCTGCTTCAAGTAGCTTGGAAACCTCTTTCCTCACAACCTCTTGCATGGAAGGATTAAGCTTCCTTTGCCGTTGCCTACACGGCTTAGCACCCTCCTCTAAATCGATTTTATGCATGCATAGGGAGGGGCTTATACCCTTGAGAACATCAAGAGTATAACCCAAAGCCTTCCTATGCTTTTTCAGGACATTTAGCAATGAGGAGGTTTGCTCTTCCGTGAGGTTAGCATTGACAATAACCGGGGAAGTATCATTAGCATCCAAAAAGACATACCTCCAGCCCGAAGGTAGAGGTTTCAATTCTATCTTTGGAGCTCCCTTACCATTGGAGATCTCCTCCTTCTCTACCTTGAAGATTTCATGTGCTTGGAGCATCTCTTGGTCGGTGATTGTCTTCTCTTTCTCATCAAGTATTTCTTCATACAATTGCATCTCCTTTTGATCGCCTACTTCATTCTCATTCAACAAAACATTCTCAAGTAGATCATTAGAAGCATGCATATGAGGGTATCTAAACTCATTCATCAAATTTTCAATTGTATCTATTCTAAAGCATTCATTACTAGAGGAGGGTTGTCTCATTACCTTATTCAAGTCAAATTCAATAGAATCATTGTCAACCTTCAAGGTCATATTACCTTCTTTGACATCGATGATCGCTTTAGAAGTAGCTAGGAATGGCCTACCCAAAATTATAGGAATTCTTTCATCTTCATCCATCTCAAGGACATAAAAATCCACCGGAAAGGTGAACTTACCAACTCTAAGGGGGATGTCCTCTACTTTCCCTATAGGCAATTTTGTGGACCTATCCGCTAGTTGGAGAGTGATGTTTGTAGGTGAAAGGCTTCCCACATTGAGCTTTTGGTAGACCGAGAAGGGCATTAAACTCACACTAGCACCTAGGTCACACAAAGCCTTCCCCAAATGGATCTCATTGATAGAACAAGGAATGGAAAAACTACCGGGGTCTTGCAATTTGGTTGGTAGCTTACTAGAGAGAATGGCACTACAATTTGCAGTTAGATTAACAGTCTCAACTCCTCTCTTTCCATTCAAAAGGTCTTTTAGAAATTTAGAGTAGTGAGGCATCTCCTTCATAGCATCCACAAAGGGTATAGAAACATGCAAGCCTTTAACTACTTCTAAAAACTTTCCGAATTGGGTATCAAGCTTAGACCTAGCAAATCTTTGGGGAAAAGGCAACCTCTCATTCCTAGGTTGGAGATTAAGGGGTAAACGTGTTTGCTCTTTGGTGCTCTCCTTTTCGGGTATCTTCTCTTTTTCTCTCTCACCCCTCTCATGCTTTTCGGCACTTCCTTCTAGAACCTCACCCTCTCTTGATGACTCATCCTCAACCTCAAGTCCTATCCCTTTATCGAAACTCTTCTCTACATTTAAATCACTCTCAAGGATCTTCCCACTTCTAGTGGTAATGGAATACATAAATTTGGGGTTGACACCTTGGCTAGGTAAAGAAGAAGAGGAAGAAGGGGAGGATGAAGAACTTGGTTGGGCAATTTGGGAGATTTGGGTCTCAAGCATTTTCATGTGTGCCTTAATTTGTTTCTTTTCCTCCTCTTAAATCTTGTTGTAGCTCTCTTGATTCTTGATGAAATCTTGGAGCATGCCCATCATAGAATTCGGAGCGGCCTCAACTTGAGGAGGAGGTGTGTTAGAAATTTGGGCTTGTGGCCTAATTTGTTCAAAACCGGGAGGTCTATTTTGAGGCCTTCCATTTCCAGAACCGTGATTGGAATTAAAACGTTGTTGGTTGTTGGAATAGTGTTGTTGGTTTTGATTCCAATTGGGCCTTTGGTTTGAGTAACTTCTTCCATTGTAATTAGAAGAGTTCCCCTTACCTTGGCCTTGGTTATCATAACTACCACCACTTTGATTCCATTGATTTTGATTCCAACCTTGATTTTGATTCCAACCGCGGTTTTGGTTTTGATTCCAATTTGGCCGCATTCCAAAATTTCCCTCACGGGGGACAAAATTCATAGCATTAACATCTTCAACATTATCATCATCATTTTCTTGGGAAGGGCTTTAATATTCATTAATGGACATGCATTGTTCGGAATTATGGTCATAGTTTCCACATATATCACAAAACATACAACCGGGAGGCATAGCATTGTAATTAGAGGGAGAAGAAGTAGAAGGATTCATACCATGGCCTCTCTTGGTAGAAGGAGAGGAAGTATTTTGAGTGCTTGATTTCATGAGCTCCTTGATTTGTTTCGCCATCTTTGTCATTTGGTTGGAAAGATTTGTGATGGCATTGGTTTGCTCGATGGATTGCACTGTTCCTTTGCTTGAAGTGGCTTTCCTCTCACCTTCATACCAATCCTCATAATTCCGGACCACATCTTCTATTATGCTTTCAACTTCTCCCTCTCTCTTGTTCATAATAGGGCCACCAGCCCCGGCATCTAAACTTGTCTTGCTTTGGGGTGAAAGGCCTCCATAGAAAGTTTAAAGAATTTGGTAGTTGGGAATGCCATGATGAGAGCATTGTCTTTGGATTTCCTTGTACCTTTCCCAAGCCTCACATAGAGACTCACCTCCCCTTTGGCGAAAGCTTTGAATTTTAGAACGAGCCTCGGCAGTCTTCTTATGATTATAGAACCTTGCCAAAAATGCCGTAGTAACCTCATTCCATGTTGTGAGAGAACCGGGAGGCACGTCATTATTCAACCAATGCTCGGCTACTCCCATAAGAGAGAATGGAAACATCTTCAATCGAATGTACTCTTGGGTTACTCCGTTGATCTTGATGGTGTCACAATACTTGAGAAATTCTTTGAGATGCTCATGTAGGTTCTCAAACTTACCACCCGTGAATTGCCTCTTTTCTATCAAGGAGATGAAGTTAGGCTTGATTTCAAAATTGTTTGCTTGGGTAGTAGGAGCCAGGATCCCACTTTAAGAGGTATATGGTTCGGGTGCTCCAAGTTGCTTTAGTGACCTTTGATCACCCACGTTTCCTTGATCACCCATACTTTGTTGATTATGGTTATTGGCAAATGGGTTGGGATTTGAGCCTGTGGGTGATTCACTCTCCTCGCTTGAATTGGGTGAAGATGGGGTAGGGGAACTTCTCACTTCCTCTTGAAGTGGGTCTTCACCTCTCTCCCTTGCTTGTCTCCTCAATTACGTTAGAGTACGCTCTAGCTCGTGGTCTATGGACACCAAAGGCCTAGGGCTATTAAGCCTCCTGTGCATATACAAAGCTAAGCAAAAAGTGAGCACTGACAAGACACGGAAAAACAACAGAAAGAAACGAATGAACTAGTCTCAACAAGAAAATATACGCACAATGGAAACCGTTTCCCCGGCAACGGCGCCAATTTGACAGGCGGTGTTTTAGGTCGTTACTAAGACACCTCTATCAAATGATATTTGTAGTCCTAAACATGCAACTAAAAGAGCATAGAGGCAAGTCAAGGGTCGAACACAGGGAAACGATTAAGCACTGCTATCTATCTCCTAAAGTTAATCTAGTTCGGTCAAGGAAAATAGTGGATGAATTAAAGACTAAAGAGTATGTAAAATTAGTAAAAATAAATGCTAGGGGTAGGGGTCAAACATGCTATGAAGTCAAAGGAGCTAGGCTTAGGGAAGTAGGTTTACATGCAAACCAAGCAACTCATACAAGGCAAAGTCAAGAGTACTCTCTAATCACCTATCGGGATTAAGAGCTTTCCTAGTTAACATGCACTTACACTATCGTCATAAGGCATGCAATACTAAGGTTAGACAATAATCAATCACCCAATGACTATCATCATGATTTAATTCAAGTCACTCAACCACAACATGCATATGGCCATAAACATGGAGTAGCCAAAAAGTATAAGCGCAAGGAAGATTTAATTGCAAGTATTCCAAACTAGCCTAGCCTATCATACATCAAATTCAAAGCATGTCTCCACCAAACCCCTAGCAATAAGAAAACTACTCACAATCCATAACCCTAACTACAATTACACTAATCAACAAAGTAATTAAGAAATTAATGAGAGAGATGATAATTTCACCAATTAAACCAACAAAGATGGGAACTTTAAGCATATAACAAAAGAATAAAAAGAAGAATACCAATAGTTTCATTCAATACCAAGTGAGATGACAAACACCAATAGAGTTCCAAAATGCTTCCTCAAAATACCCAAAGTAGCTAAAATTGATAAATTGAAGATCTACACTAAGATCTATGGAAGAATTTCCAATACAAGAAAGCTAAAATCTATGCTAAGAATGTTCCTCTAAAGAGTATGCTGAAAGTTTCAATATGTGAATAATGAATGTTGCTTTCTCTCTCCTCTTCTCTGCTTTTTAAATCTGATTTTAGGTTATGGACCGCAGCAGACAGGCGCGCCGCGCTAGATGGTGACGCGGCCGCTCCTCAAGAAGCGCGCCCGCTCCTCAAGAAGCGCGCCCGCTCAAAAATGGGTGTCACAGGATTGGGCCAGCTCAGCGCGCGCCCGCGCCCAAGGTGGCGCGCCTGCGCCTATAGTTGCGCGCCCGCTCCAAACTGCTGGTTCAATGCTTCGATCCTTGCTCTGGCTCCTTGTCAATTCAAACCGCAATCAATTTGCAATTACAAAATAGGTAGGCGAAGCGTAATACAACGAAGAGGGAGGGGAGCAAAGCGTACCTAAACCAAATAAAAACACATTACGCAACACATAGGTAGACTGCTTAAATTAGGCAAAACATAACAAAAGCACACTAGGATGAACTGAATTATTGCTAAAACTACTAGAAAGAACTACCCTAGGAGTGACATAAATATCACTCATCACTCATCATCATGTTCATGAGTTCATCTCTGGAGACTGGGGTGGTTCCCTCTGAAGCAGGAGTCAACCCAAGCGGTCCCCTGGTAGGATGATTTGGGCCTGCTTGCTTCTCTGCTCGTTCCCTCTTGTCTTTGGAACGAGTATGCTTGGTTCTGAAGGAACCGTCGGCTGCTGTGTAGGTTTCAATCTCATGATTGTCAGCTGTGTCTTGGTCCGAGTGGACCTCAGCCTTACCAGCAGGTTGACTACTTTTACCCGGCTGTACCGGTTCTGAAGTCATTTAGAAAGTACTCTCCCCACAGACGGCGCCAGATGTTTGGGGGTTTTTTATGTGTCCTACGGGAGAGTTACAATTTCCTAGTATGCTCCTTCCTTCACCTGTACCTGCACAAATAACGGAATACTCCGGCTGGGGCTGGGGTGTTCCGCCTCCGAAGATTAAGTTAGTCTCTTTCTAAATGTGGAAATAAGACAATAAATGCTTCTCAATTTGAGAGCGTTTGCAAGGGGATTTGTGTTTTGTTGGTTTGTGGGAAAAATGATTCGATCCCCATTAATGACGTCTGCCCTTACTATTATAGTAGGGAGAACTGTACCTCAATTAGGGTACAATGACACGTGTCGCATAGGGATTGGGCCTTTGCTGACCGTTGCAAGCTTGACACGTGGCAGACCTTTATTGGGCCACATGTCTCAGGGTATTTTTACTCTAAACAGGGTGGGCGTTGGTGTGGTGGGTAAGGGGTAGTCTGGTGGCGCTGGTGTGGGTGTGGGTGGGGGTGGTTTGGGCAGGTGGGGTAGGGGCTTTTTTTAATTTTTAATTTTTTATTTTTCCGACGGAATTTTCCGTCGGAATATCCCGCCTTTGACGGACAATTCTGTCGGAACATCTCCCCCACCGACGGAAATTTCCGTCGGAAATTATCGCACTCTGACGGAAATTTCCTTTCGAACCTTGCGACGGATTTTCACTGAAAGTCAACAAAAGCGCCGACAGAACAAATTTTGTCAGAAAGGTCTATTCCGACGGAATTTCCAACGAAATATCGCAAAATTCCTACAAAAGGTCTTCCGACAATGCTTTTCGATGGAATTCCGTCGGAAATGGCCATTTCCGACGGAATTTCAGGGTTTTCCGACGGATTTTTTCCGTTGTTGATTGACTGTTTTCTAGTAGTGCAGGCGGAGGGAAATGATGATGACAACCCTAGTCATGGGTCCTCGTCGACAGATATGGTCCCACCTGGGTATAATACTCCGGTGGTACGCCCTTACGTGGTTCCAGACGCGTTTGCGGCTGGTCCATCGTCTCAGTTTGGTGGTGGTACGTACGAGGTTTGCTCGTCGTCGCAGCAGCCTGTGCCCACTCCCTTTGCTGGTGGGAGCTTTCAGTACGGTCCTCAGGGAGTTACTCAGTGGAAGGGTCCTACACTAGTGATCCCCACGACGGGCGGTGCTAATTCTATCCAGGAGCAGACTCCTCAGTCCGTGTACTTCTATGATGCGATGGGCATTCCTCGAGAGCCTCGTCCTCCAGCACCCTAGTTTTTCTTGCATTATGTTTCATTTTCTGGACTATTTGGACTTTGCTCATGGTGTTTTATACATTTTATTGAAACTTATGTACATATGTATATATTAGACTATATCTGTTTAGACTTTATCTAGTTATTTTATGTACTTTTTGTTTTCATCTGAGTATGTGATTTTGTGACAAATTTTGCGCAAATCTTCCGTCAT